CCCGCCACCACCACATCTTTTGGTAGACTTAAGCGGTGGTCAAAGCTTCCTAGTGGAGCGTATTTTGAACTACCGCGATGTGAATGGCGTCCGGACGAGTTACCTCTTCCGCTGGCGTGGCTATCAACCGGCGTGGTACAGCTGGGAGCCTCGTGCCCAGCTGATTGTTGATGTCCTTGGCCTCGTCGAGCAATACGACGATACCCACCCGATGCGCGCAAAGAAGGGCCGTCGAAAAATGAACTCCCCGATCACGAGTACAGGGATTGCAAGGTTTCAATCCCTTCGGACATCTCGGAAGAGATGCGCGCCATCCAGTAGGGATCATTAGGGAGGAAGGCCTCCCTATGGGCACGGTTTTAGTTGTCCAGGCAACATGGACACGAATCACCCAACGAGAGACAGGGTAATCCTTCCTCTCTTGAAAGCCGGTGTAACTTGTATCGCACCCCGACTGGGTTGCGTTTCTCAAACCTGATGCGAGCTGCATTAAGTTTATCAATCCAGGCCTCACGACCAATGCATGTTGTTGTGGATGAGGGCATTCCATCCTTGCAACAAAGCTTTACCGTCTCGAACACGGCTGCCATTGTACCACAGATGTTTGAAAAACACATCGGTAAATAGTTCTTCCTCAGCACGGATAGTTTCCGTGCTGGAACCAGGTGGGCAAATCATCCTGCAACCGAACAACAAGCATGATCCCTTTCGGTTTTAATGCCGGCCAACCGGTCCAACTCTCTGTATGGAGCCATCAAAGGAGACTCCAATTGGGGAGCGTGGCGCAGGACATTTCGGTCCTTGGCCTCTTGATAGGTGCCAGCATGAGCACTGGCACCAGTGTCGCCCCGATTCCTTTTAATTACTTCGCTCGTGGTGATGTATAGGTGCATCACCACCATCCCCACCCTTCCGATCGTTGGATGTACTTGCGTCAGGCGGAAATTTATCGGAATAATTACTCGATCCGAAAATCGTGTACATGATACCGCCGCGTTGACCAGAGCCAGTCAACCTGGCTCTTGCAGTGTCCGCCCCGGGTGGTCCGGAGGCGCGAGATGTCGCCTTCGAGTCGGAAACATCATCCAAATTGGCCAGAATAGATGAGCTCTTTTTTAGACTCGTCTGTATGACGTTTCGCGACACCCGCTGAAGACGCACCGGATGTACGTGTCGCACGTGGTGGCTCACCACGTGGACGATTCACAGCAACAGGCGACGAATCGCCTGCTGCTGAGGGTGTGAGAGGCACTTTCCGCATCCGCACGCATGCGTGTAGCCGCATTTATAGCTGCTGCAGTAGCAACTCGCGTGGTTTTCGAGATCATGCGTTGGATTGGCAAATGAATGGAATTTGGCCAACAAGTGCTACCCAGAGTGATCCAACGGTGGGTACCCTGTACCATTCAATTCTAATTCAATAAACGGGTGATTGATAATCAAGGGCTGGTAGGTGTAACGGGGTATCCTGTCACATGGAATTGACCCTAAACGGTATCAATAGGAATATCGTCTAGCATGAAAGTATCCTACCAATATTATCTGAGATGGATAACATTGAAGGAATATAATCCTCATTAAATAAAACTCATGCGCAGCTCAAAGATTGGTTGATAAAAGACATATTAACCATAGATTGCCACCAATGGCTGCTAGACGCGCGCAATGAGTGGTGAGTAGGTTGTCGTCGTACGAAAAAGTAGTTAAAAATAGTGAGATAATGACTGAAGTTACATTGATAGCTTAACTATGTATAAGACAGTTCTATTTTTACTCTTTACTCAAACGATCTGCTTGAGCAAATAAGCTTCCTCTGCACGTACTAGTGTACGTCAAATTTCGCGGCACCCTAAACAAAGGATGCCCCGTTACTAACACACTTGCTTTGACACTTTCCCTTACGACACAATCAGTTTCAATCAGCTTTGCAAATTTACGACAGCCCCTAGACTGGATGGGCCTAGAGGTGTCAGTAGTTAGTGGCCATCTAGTAGGGGGGGTTAGGGACCGGTCGAAGGGGCTGACTGTAATAAATCGCACAAAATGACGACAGTACCATCAATACAGCTAGCATTTGAAGAAGCAGCATCAAGTATTGACGAATTTTGGTTGTTCAAAGACCATAAATCAATGGTATATAATTTCACAGGCGTTTTACGGAATTGAAAAGCAAGCAAGCAGACATACATAAGTGTTATGTGGCATGCATTTGTTCAATCAAGAAAATGCAGGGTGCTCCGGAAGCACAGTATCACATCGATGTATCCGCAATATGTAATTTCCTCGGCCTTCATGGTTGATCGCGCGCTAGCAATTTCCATTAAGCACCTACGAATAAAATATCGTAGTGGGTTAGGTTTAACAAATGTTAGCATTGATCCATCAAAATTAGATTGAGTTTAACAGGAAAAAAAGATAAAAGCCATGTTTTTGGCTCGTTAAAACTTACTGCCGGTACAATAATCCCCTTGCGACCAGTGCGTTTATTCTTTCCTCGATTGCATGAAAAATGGTACATTTGCAAGTATGTCACATAAGTAACATCCACTTTAATGACATAATCAAGACAGGAATTCACTCTTAATTACTCTACCTAACTTGAAACGTCAATTGGCTGGTCAAGTGGCCAGATAAAATTGACATCGGTCAGTAACTTTCATCCCTAAAAACAGGAGTTTGTGAGCCTACTTTAATGATAATTTGAATATAAAGTAATGATTAGGTTTGAAAGATCCGTAAAAATTTTAATAATTAAAGGGTGCCGTAACATATGGGAGTGCTGTCTAATGTCAATAGTGCCTAGCACAATACATAAGAATTTTTCATAAAAAACTTCGTACCGGTCTACAAAAATTCTAGCACACACACTTTAATGTTAGCGAGTGATGATGCGGCGACTTGTGAAGGGTGTATATTGCATATTTGCATTAGTTGTATTGTTCTTTGGCAGTTTATATTGTGGATTACATAGACAAGTCATCGATTGGCTAGTCGTTTGGAAGGGATTCCACGTGATGTCGATCCCCGCTGAACAAGTTAATTGTGACTGACACTCACGACCTGGTGTTTGGGTTCACCAGAACTTGACCCCCCCATTACCCCCACCCACCAATCGTTTTCATTCTCATATGACACACAGAGTTTTTACGAAATATTTACGAGACTAATTACCCAGTGATAGTAAAACAGAAAGCGGTGGAGACAACAAATAGGTGCTGAACACCCTACTACTACATTCTTTTGAACTAGGAACAATTTGAATACAACTCACTTTGTTTTCATCCCCCTACCATCTTCTTCTTACATCACTCACAACCTAGTTAATTCTAACATTTGCCAAAGAACGACCGGTTTCAAGGTCGCTTGACCTCGAACTATGGGTTTGATTACAATGAAATGTACCTATGTCGAAGGCTGTCATCCATGAACAACAAGTGAGCCAAGAACAGCCCACCATCTTAATCTGAATTCCAGTTGATCATTCATCGACTCGCACCAAGAGGCTACTTGCTTTCATCACAGTCAACATGGCGAATCGACTTTGGCTGAAGGAAAGTTCGCGTCGTTCAAATATCAGCATCAACATAGCGTCATGTATGGACTGAGGACTTATGAAATAAGCCGAACTCGGTCAATAAGAGGACTGTACTGTTGCGGATCTACCTTCAGCTTCGAGCTTTACAGGCATTCCGCATGTCCGTCCAAGTCAGTTTCATACCTCGTAGCAAGTTGATCGCCGAAGAAGTCGCCAGAATGAGGCACGTAGAAGATGCACGGGCTCTACGCAGGCAAGAAGAAGGGTAATCAGTACCCGAAGAAGCAACAAGGACGCGCGCGAAGGACCATCAGGACCTGCTACAACTGTGGCAAGGTCGGACACTAGCCAGAGTTGCGCTCGTCGACCAAGGGCAACAGCATACCAGTCAATGTCCTTTAATGTCAGCGAAGGTTTCGCGAGCACACTGGTCATGGATAGTGGGCTCAGCACAATTCAAGGATCGAGATGCTTCGAAGATACGAAGAATGCATCATGCGCAAGTATTTCAAGCGCAAAGAGCGACGTAAGCTGAATGTCATTGAACATGGACAGTGAAGCTGCGCGTCTGGACAGGGCATGCGTGGATCGACGCTCGCCTTGAGAACACACTTCACGTTCAAGATTTGTCCAAGAACCTGTTTTCGCTCACGGCTCGGCAGCGCGCATGACATGAATAACGCGCAACGAGTCTGTCAAGCTGGCGCACACCGTCAACAGGAAGGAAGCAGGGTTCCTCTGTATCTCAATCTGACTATGGTACGGAGTCCACATGCCGAAGACGACACAGAGCTATGCATAGAAGACTGGGTCACGTTCTATGACTGAATGCATAGTCAAGGACGGAAGGATAAGGGCCAACGATGAAGACGAACGTTGCGTGTGACGTATGCGCAACTCAAAGCAAGTCAAGTCATTCAAGACAAGAAGAAGACGCTGAAACCAGGGAGTTCGCTTCCGACGTGGTGGTTTCGACGTTCTTGACCTATCACGCCAGCGTCAAGTCTGGTTTCAGTTAGCCTAACCTTCATCATGATGAAGAGCAGGTATGTAACGGTCTATCCGTTCGAAAGAAGAGCGACGTTGCGAGTGCGTTCAAGCGGTTTAACCAAGATGTCAAGACAGCATCTGGAACGAAGATAAAGGTGTTGCGAAGTGACAACGGCGGCGAATACCGAACGCAACGATGAACAACTTTTGCAAGGCAAAGTTCATTAAGCAAGAGTTCACGGTTCCTACAACCCAGGCAGAACGATGGCGGAGCGGATGAACCGCACCTGGTGGAGATGACGCGCTTATGTAAAGGAAAGCGGCCTCGACAAGTCGTTCTGGTGCGAGGCACTAATGACAGCGGCAGACATCAGAAACATTCTGCCGAACGCTCGAACAAGAACTCAAGCCCACACGAAATGGTGTTCAAGAAGGTTCCGCGCATCGATCACATGCGCGTGTTTGTCGCAATGCTATGCGCATGTGGCTAAGGAGAAGAGGAGAAGCTGACGACTCAGGCGTGCGATGTTTCTTTCTCGGCTATGCAAAGGACCAAAAGGCGTATCGGCTTCTCAACGCGGACGATGGCTCGATCGTGATTTCAAGAAGCGTCACGTTCGCTGAGCATTCTGTATCAAAGCTTTGAAAAGCAGAGACACGCGGGTTTTCGATGTCATTGAAGAAGAGGAAAGTGTGGAGGCGTCGCTACCCGATGCTGAAGACACAGCAGCGCCGGTGACCGAAGAAGAGCTGCGTACTCCATTACTTCGAGCGCAGAACAGCTCTCATCACGAACCAAGTGATCGACCAAGCGACACCATTCCCACGCGCGCATCCAGCACACCCGGAAGAAATGGAGAAGAAGAGTGGATGGTGCGACCGGTTCGGAGGAAGCGCGGCGTGGTTCGCTACGAACAAGAATTTCCAAATCATCGTCACGGTCAATTCAATTTGGACGACTACGAAGGTGATTTCGACTCTTTCTACTGTTTCTCGGCTGAAGAAGATGGGGAACAAGCGTCCAGCTATCAAGAAGTAATGAAGAGCAGCTTCAAGGAGCAGTGGCTACAGGCAATGAAGAGCGAGATGAAGTCGCTTGAAGAACACAGCACATGGAAGCTAGTGGACATGCCATCGGGCAAGAAGGCCGTTGGCTGCAAGTGGGTCTTCAAGATTAAACGCGATCCAAGTGGCGAGATCATCAAGTTCAAGGCACGCTTGGTTGCGAAAGGGTTCACGCAGCGTCCCGGCATCGACTACAACGAGACCTTTGCACCAGTGGCGCGGAAGGAATCTATCAACACAGTGTTGGCGATCGCTGCAGCTGAAGATCTGGAAGCAGAGAACGTTGACGTCGACACAGTGTTTCTCTACGGCGAAGTGGAAGAGGAGATCTACATGGACCAACCTGACGGTTTTGAAGATGAAGGAAGCCCGACTAAGAAGTGTTTGCTGCAGAAGGCGCTATACGGGACGAAGCAAGCGGCGCGGCAGTGGAACAACAAGTTGAGTCAGCACTTGGTTGATCAAGGGTTCAAGAGCAGTCAGCGGACCCGTGTGTTCGTTCGAGTGACAAGAGAGAGTACAGCATCATCGTGATCTACGTGGACGACTTGATGATTTTCTGCAAGACGAGGAGCACATCGCAAGTATCAAGAACTCATTGATGGAATATTTCAGCATTAAAGATCTTGGAGATCTCAAGTACTGCCTCGGGATCGAGATTCATCGCAAGCGCGAAGATGGAATGATCAAGATGAACCAGAAGGCGTACATCAAGCGACTTTCGGAGAAGTTCGGCGTTGAGAACTGCAAGGACGTGCACACGCCGGCGGACAGTAATTCGAAGCTGATCAAGTTGGGTCAAGAGGAAGCGTTTGTACCAAAGTACCCATACCGTGAGCTGGTGGGCGCTTTAATGTACATCGCCACATGTACACGACCGGACATTGCGCATGCGGTTGGCGAAGTTGCGAAGTTTTGCGAGCGCTACGACAAGTCGCATTGGACAGCAGCAAAGCGGATTCTCAAGTATCTCAAGACGACTCAAGACTTAAGCATCGTTTTCAGCGGCATCAACAAGGCAGAGCTGATTGGATTTGCGGATGCAAACTAGGCTGGCGACCTCGACACGCGGCTTTCGACAACAGGATACATTTTCTTCCTGAACGGAAGCGTGATATCGTGGAATTCGAAGCGTCAACCAACGGTCGCGACCTCAAGTACTGAAGCAGAGTACATGAGTCTGTACAGCGCGACGCAGGAAGCAATTTGGCTTCGAGGTCTGCTCAAGGACCTGAACTACTGTGCCAAGAACGCGACGACGATTTTTCAAGACAATTAAGGTTGCATCGCTGGCCAAGAATCCTGTGTACCACTCGCGCACGAAGCACATCGACATCAAGTTTCACTTTTTGCGTGAAAAGGTTGCAAGTGCAGTGATTGCGCTAGAGTTCAAGCCGACGGAAGAAATGGTCGCAGATGGGTTCACCAAGGCACTTCCAAGAGACAAGCACAGCAAGTTCATCACGGGTCTGTGCATGGCGGTGTAGGGCGCACACGTCGCACGCACATCAAGGGAGAGTGTTAGCGAGTGATGATGCGGCGACTTGTGCAGGGTGTATATTGCATATTTGCATTAGTTGTATTGTTCTTTGGCAGGTTTATATTGTGGGATGTGAGCAAAACGACAAGTCATCGGATTGGCTCAGTCGTTTGGGAAGGGGGATTCCACGCGGGTGAGTGCGGGTTCGATCCCCGCCGTGAACAAGTTAATTGTGACTGACACTCACGACCTGGTGTTTGGGGTTCACCAGAACTGTGACCCGCCCGCAGTTACGTCCCCCACCCACGCAATCGTTTTCATTCTGCATATGACACAGCAGAGTTTTTACGAAAGGTATTTACGAGACGTAATTACCCAGTGATAGGTAAAACAGAAAGCGGTGGAGACAGGGCACGAAATAGGTGGCTGAGAGCCACCGGCTACTACTAGCCATTCGTTTTCGAAGCTAGGAACAATTTGAATACAACTCACTTTTCGGTTTTCATCCCCGGCCGTAAGCCATCTTCTTCTTAGCATCAGCTCCACAACCTAGTTAATTCTAACATTTAAATTCTACAAATCATTCACTAACAGCTAAGACTAAGAGTCTGAATTTTAGCAGTGATTCATCTGATGGAACGCAGGAGAAAGGTAATATTATTCGGGTTCAAGGTATCAAGTCAAGTGTGCCAACCGCTAAATAAAGCTATGTTAGCAGTTATAAGTTGTCAAATTGATACATTTGAATCGATGCCTTGCCGAATGTTGTTTTTTAAATGAACAAATGATCATTACTTATCTTGCAAGCGTAAAAAAAGGTTTCTGTGATTGCTGATATTAAAGGAAAGGCCAGTGGTTTAATTACGGGATTTTCGTATTGAGCACGCTTTTGACAAATTTCCGTTTACCTCAACGACACATTAAGGACACAACATCACCTTTTATTTTTGTCGAAAATCTTTGAGAGATGATCCTACGAAAGACTTCTAATCATCTAGTTGACGTTAGTCGATACCACTCGTTAATTTCAGCTTCTAAATACAGGGCTCAAGATAAAGATCATATTTTTAAATCTTAAATTAATCGGGCCATGACAGTTGGCCTTTTTCTCATGTATTACGCGCGCGGTTTGCGCTGTCAAATAATTCTATATAAAATCGAAACACGCATACGCATTGCACGCCGATCCGTTGCTACTTAGTCATCTTGTCAATACGATGTAAGGCCCAAAGCTTTGCCAATTTTTATTTGTTGCCCTCAGTAATTCACTCACTATCAAGAGCCTCCATTTGACTTGTCCCGTGGACTTCGATAGACCGAGAATGTGGCTACCCTCACTTTCCAACCGGTCTTTTCGCGACGTCATTCGTATCAGCCGTCAAGGAATTATGTTAACGCTATACACACTACACCCGATTCGAACTGCTTCTCCTTACATTACAAGTAGTCAACATGCAATTTGTGGATAACTTAAGCAAAGTCAGGCCGGCTGCTTCTTCTCGTCAATCGCCGTTACTAAATCTCTCCACAACATACAAGGCTTGCACTTTAGATGGGTGTTGTCTTCTGGTCCTCTTCTCAGACACCTAATGACGGCAGGCGTATGTTCAAGATGCAGAAGATTTTGACATGTTCCTTTTAATTTCCTATTTGCACGAAAACTGAGATTTGATACTATCCTTTTTTAAGCACTCGAAAGTTGAACCTAATGTGAATGAGAGGAAGCGACGGCTCCACGCGATATGGGCGCCGACACTGTCGCTGGGCCCACCGCAAGGGCCCATATCTCCATGAAAATGGCCCATTTGGTATACAGGGCAGAAAGGGAAGTCAGGTCATAGAACTAAAGATGCATTGCCCATTGAACAATGGCGATGCGGCGCACCAGGAGACTGCGGACTAGGAATTTTAGCGCACTGGGCCCCTACAGGCAGCACGGATAGCAGGAGATGTTATCAGGCTTCTTACATCATAAAAAGAAAGAACCGAGGACTCAACAGCGGAACATTAAGAGCCCCGAAAGCTAATTCATATAGCATAAAATAGTATACGCTGCACAAAGATGATGCATCACGCCCGACAAGCGATGGTGAGAAATCTGCGCTACAGGAATGTATGCCACGACAGGTTAGGCTGCCAGACTATCACAAAAAAAACGAATGTACCACAGCAGACCTTTAGAAATCAATAATTATGAATTTTTATTACTCTTGTGTGGAAGGCTCCCGCATTGCATTGTTCCTGCGCAGGATCATCCTGGCAAGACTTTGCCACACTAGTAACTAATGCGCAAGCCAGTCGAGAACAATTCATGGACGGAAAAATGCACTTGATGAAAAGAAATTTTATGTAATAGGTTCATTGCATCTTCTTTGACGAAAAGCGTGATTTTTAAGTCCTTCATGTCTTGTGTTGTGTTGGTGTGAAGGCTGAAGACTGGAGAGTGGAGAGGAAGACGGAATTTCGGAAAGTGAGATTTATCAAAGTTATCGTTGTGCTAAAGTGTGATCCTATGAATCTTTACTCTTACACTAACAACTACATGGCACTGTAGGAGCTAGTAGGGTCAGCGGTTGACGTTGAGGATACGGGATCTGGAGTTCCAGTTAATTTCAACGCCACCTGATATACGTTCAGCAACATGGAAGACTGGGTCATCAAATCTGCAAGGCTGGGTCATCACGAACTCAGGCGGAAAGTCCACGCTTCGATACGAACGCCCTAGCATCAAAACGGGACCAAGCAACGGGATAGACACTGACATCGAAAAGATGTCAGAGACATACAGGAATACAGAGGGTGGATCAATGACGCTGGTTGCGTCATTACATTATCCGCGGGTAAATCGAGCCGCGACCGACGAGCACATTGGGCCTTGATGCGAGCGCGCAGACCGTCGAGAAGCTGCTTCTAATGCGCTACGTGCCGTACGTCAATTTCCCACTGCCAACTCGCTTGATCCGATGGGAGATCTGCCCACTTGACGAGTTATTGGTTCTTTTTGTTCACCTTTCGTGTAGCTTCGAGACTCTCGATCACCCACACTCGATGGCCGTGCTCGTCGTACAGCACTACGGTGGTTTGGTACAGCGGTCGGCCGACAAGGTGGCTAGGAGAACCCGGTGAGAACTTGAGCTGGTCGATGTTAAATACATTTCTTAATCTTGCTTATCTGCGGCAGTAGCTGAATCTTGTACGTGACCGGAATCAGCTGTTGCAACACCTTGAAAGGACCGACATGCTTGGGAAGGAGCTTGTTCGTAGACTAAGATTCTTGAACATGCTTCATGGACAGCGGTGACGCATTGACCAGGACCCAATTTTTTAGCTTTGAATTCCACTTTGCGGCGACCTTGATGGTAATAGCGTTTCTGTCGTTCTTGAGCTTGACGTAGGTTCTGCTTGGCTTCTTCGACGATGCGTGCTCTGCGCTCCCAAAACCTTTCAGCTTCCGAGCTTTAGGCACAATTTCACCGACTGCACTGGGATGACAAGCCTTTCGACCGTTGTCGACCTCAAAAGGAGAAAACCCGGTGCTCATGGATACGCATGCGGCGTGAGCTTACTCAACGATGAAAAGTACATGGCACCAGTTCCCTCCTCGGTGAATTATCATGCACAGCAAGCTCTCCTCAAGTGTGCGAATCTACCTTTCGCTTTGTCCGTCAGCCTGAGCACGGTGCGCCACGGTCATAGACACCTTGACTCCAAGGAGGTACATTAGCTCGGGCCAAAAATTTGGAGTGAATCTGGGGTCGCGTTCGGATAAGATGACACTTGCAATACCATACTGTTTAAAGCAATGCACGAACATTAACTTCGCAAATTCCTTGGCATCGACATTCTTGTGGATTGGATTGTAACATGGACGCTTGCTTATCTTGCACAATACGACCTGAATCGCATCGGATCCACTCGAGATGGGGAAATGAATCAGAAAGTAAGTTGTAATGACTTTCCAGCAGCTCGTTGGCACCGGAATGGATTGCGTGAGACCTTGATCTCTGCTTCCGGGCTTGTTTCGCAGACACTTTTCACATGGCCGAACAAACTCTTCGACATCCTACCTCATTCCATGCCAGGAGTACCATTGACGAACCATCAAATAAGTTAGCATAACGCCTGGATGCGCTACGATATTTGCATCATGGATGTAGCGGAGCTACACAGCTCCTTAAGTCAGAGGAAGACTTAACGCTCTACGAGCAGCTTAGTTCTAAAGAACTAACGACTTTACGAGTCAACAAGCTTTATAGCTTCAGATCCCTGTTCCAGGGGACCTAACGATTCAGTGAATCGACAGCACTTAGTGCTCAAGAGTAGCTACCTCAGGGAGGTGTCGCTAACTCTTAGTGATCAGAGATCAACGATCAAGACGGCTCGCAAGCCACGTGTCTTTCAGATCAAAATGGGAACTGATTTTATTTTTGTTAAAGCCTATAGAATATCTTCATCCTACTCAAAGATCTTTCGTATCTAATGGCTGACACTCGTCAGCCCCTACAAACCGATAAGATATTCTATATCACCTTCGCAGAAGCGAACCCTCAGATGTGTAACACCTCTGGTAC